CAAGGGCCGGTGAGGAAACAAAAATGGGTGCAGGGTTTAGGGTTTTGGGCGCAGGGTGTAGGGTTTTGGGTGCAGGGTTTAGGGTCCCTAGGGTTTAATAGGGTTTAGGGCCCCTAGGGTTTAGGGTTTTGGGTTTTGGGCGCAGGGTTTAGGGTGTTGGGATTAGGGTTTTGGGTCAAGGGTTTAGGGTTTTGGGGTTATGGTTTGGGGTTAAGAGTGTAGGGTTTTGGGTTTTGGGTTTAGGGCAGCTTGAAGTCGCTGATAGTTGTTGTGAGCTTCAGGATGTTGGGGTTTATGGCTTTGGACGGTTTGTGTTTAAGGTTTTGCGAGGGCAGGGTTGATAGGCTTTTGTGTTTAAGGGTTTGGGGCTTGGGGTTTCGAGGGTTCCTTCGACGGTTTGGGTTTAGAGTTTAGAGGTTTCCTTTAAGGCCTTTGAGGTTTAGAGGGTTCCTGCGAGGTTTTCAGTTTAAAATTTCGAGCGTTCCTTTTAGGCTTATATTGTCAGGGTACTAAAAGGGTTTAAGGGTGTAGGTTTTCGGGGTCGGTTCGAGTTAACCCTAAACCCTCAACCCTAAACCCCTAAACCCTAATCCCTCAACCCTCAACCCTAAGCCCTCAACCCTAAACCCCTAAACCCTCACAGCCCTGAACCCTAAAGGTCTGAACTTCGGGGTTCGGCTTGTGGCATGTGTTGACTGCACAACTCTGCACCCTCATCCCGGTAGTCCTGAACCACAAGCCCCCAATCTAAGGGCCTGCATAGGGGTTTACGGTTTTGGGTCTAGTAAAGGGTTTAGGGTTCGGTTTAGGGTTTCGGGTTTAGGGTTTTGGCTTTAGGGTTTCGGGTTTCGGGTTTTGGGTCCTCGTTCTATTGAGGCGTAATAGTCCAGGAATTCGGGCGAAGGGCATCGGAATTGGAGTCCGGTAGGGCAACCTGCAAAGTCTCAATATCGCAAGGTTCCCAGAGAACTCCTGAGACTCCAACATTGGGTTTAGGGCTTCAGGGCTTCGGGTGTAGGGGCTTAGGGTTTAGGGTTTAAAGTTCACGTCGTTTAGCTTTGTTCGGCCCAAATCCACAGTGCGTTCGCTAGCCAATTAGGGCTTCAGCTAGGGAGGCTTGAGGTAGATATGATTATGTTCTTCAGTCAGCCGTTTTTGCTGTAGAAGCCTTATGCATAAGATCTACAAGGGGTCTGTAGAACCCTGTAAGCCTAACAGCTTTTCATGCCTGAAGACACGTTAAGCCGCGTCGACCCTAATAAGCCCTAAAGCCCCTATAAGCCCTACAAGCCTGATATAGACCCGATAACAAGCCAACAGCCGAAACCAGCAGCCCCGTACGCTCTATAAGCCCCTTAAACCCTATGACCCCTACTTGGAGGTTCGTGGGTAGTTGTAGGTAAGGTTACAAGTAAAGTAGCACAAGTCTAACCTACATTAGGGGACATACTCCGCTTATCACTACCCAAGAACCTCCAAGTACAAGCGCCCTACCCCAATCCCTAAACCCTAAACCCTAAACCCCAAAACCCGAACCCTAAACCCTAAACCCTAAACCCAAAAACCCTAATCCCTAATCCTATTCCCAAACCCCTAAACCTTAAGCACTAAGCCCTAAACCCTAAGCCCTAAACCCCAAAACCCTAAACCCTAAACCCTAAGCCCTAAACCAGAAACGCAAACCCTAAACCCTAAACCTTAAGCCCTAAGCCCTAAACCCTAATTAATACCCTAAACCCCAAAGGCCAATCCCTAAACCCTAAACCTTAATCCCTAAGCCCTGATCCCTAAGCCCTAAACCCCAAAACCCAAACCCCAAAACCCTAAACCTTAAGCCCTAAACCCTAAACCCTAATCCCTAATCCCTAAGCCCTAAACCCCAAAACCCTAGTCCTCCCTAAGCCCTAATCCCTAAAACCCGAACCCCAAACCCAAACCCTAAACCCTAATCCCTAAACCCTAAACCCTAAACCAAAAACCCAAACCCTAAACCCTAAACCCTAATCCCTAATCCCAAACCCTAAACCCTAAACCTTAAGCCCTAAACCCTAAAACCCTAACGCTCCCTAAGCCCTAAGCCCTAAACGGAGCAGAAAGCAACCCAGGCCCGACACCACGCCCCGGGTTGAGATCGACGCAAAGGCCGCAGCGGAGATGCCCTTGGATGGCCCAGAAGGGTTTAGGGTTTAAGGCTTAAGGTTTAGGGTTTAGGTTTTTGGGTTTAGGGTTTAGGGTTGAGGGTCCTAAGTACGTATGTGGGTAATTCTCTGAATAAGGGTCCCCCAATATAGTACGGCACCCTTATAAAATGGAACCTAAAAGGGGCCCTAATTTAGAGAAGTGACCGTATAGTAGAATGTAGGGCTTCTAGAATAGGGATTATAGTATTGAGGTTCGGGTAAGTATCCCCCATATAGGTGTACTTATCAGCCTTTGGGTGGCTGTTTAGGGGTTTGGGCTGCTAAAGGTCCAATATATGAGTACTCTAAGTCAGAGTCCCTTTTTCGATTGTCGGCACCCTTATATGAACAATGGACCCGAACTTTAGAGAACTACTCATATGGGCATATAGGGCAACTTACAGAATTAGGCATTGACGTTTATGTTTTCACGGTCTGCGTGCAGGGTTGTTATTTTTTGGAAACCCTAGACCCTAAACCCTAACCCTAAACCCTAAACTCTAAACCCTAAACCCAAGCCGCTGCAGACGAGAACAACAGCTCACTGGTGCAGTAGAAGTATAAATCAGCGACCTCGCGTGATGTGTGGGATGCCTATTAGGTAATCGCAAAAGGAACTACTTTGGGGCCTATCGGTATACGCCAAAATGCAGGCCCCACATTACATCCGATGTGGCCAGGAATACCCCACACTGTGGCGGACACTGGATCGCCAAAGCCTCAGCGAGCTCTCCATTTTTCAGGTTATTAACCAGGGTTTAGATTAGAATGTCTGAGAAATAGGACTTCGGGTTATAGGCTTTATGACACTTTATGAGTTCATGATTAGGGTTTCGGGCTTAGGCATTCAATATGGTTGATGGAGCTTTGAAGCTAGTCTCCCGGAGCCCTGTGTGATGGTTCGACGTAGGACGTAAGGTGGTGTTCTCGACAAGCGCAGCAGGCTGCTTGGCCTATGCTCGTAGGCCCCAAAGAGCCAAAGCCTATAACCTCCTCTCGCCAGGCGCCTCCCACTCGCAGGAAAGTCCAAGGTAGAATAACCGACTAGTGGGTGCCAGTAGTTACTTGTGATTATGGAAAAGATACGATCGCAAGGCGTTGCTTTGAAGTCTACAGCTCCAGGCGGCAGGATTTTTTCACTTAAAGCCCTAAACCCTAAACCCTAAACGACGGGCTTGGTAGCATGCCTCGCATGGGATGCTCTCCCTGCGTCCAGCCGTACGGCTCTATGTCCAGTGTGTTGAAAAGAGTGCCCGATCGTCACAGCAAGACCGTTTAGGGCCTAGGGTTTACCTCTGGATCCGAAAAGCCAAAAACCCAGTGCTTGAAAGGTTAGGCCCCATCATTCACCGGGCAGATCTTGCTGTTTTTCGGGTTTGGGGCTACATGCAGGATTCTTTCAATAACACATTCGTTCGATGTTGATGTAAGCGTGTATCGGCAACGGTCGCAGCTGGCTAGCTGACCTAGCATGCACGGGCGTCACATGCAACATGTGTAAAAAAGCATGCATACATACATACATACATACATACATACATACATACATACACATCTTGTCACTGATACACATGCATATGTGCATGTGTTTTACGACACAAGAGACTATACACATACATAAGCATAAGCTAATGCATATACATCCACATGTACATGCCTACCTCGCAATAGGCCAAAGAAATCAGCAAAACACAGAACTGCGCAGCCCTATGTCTCAGTCGTCCTAGACCTACACCAGCCCAAATCTATGCCCCCATACACGCGGTATGTTACCCAGAACCGTGCCTGTCTTAGCCAGAAGACAAGTACTACGTTCCTGAGTAGTACCCTCTTGCCCTTTTTATTTTGGGGTCTCCTTATTAAAAACCCAACTAGGAAAAAGGGTACACTTATTATTTCGGGGTCACTCAGGAACCTGGAGTAGAGTATCGCGGGTACTGTTAGCAGTCGCATGTTATCCAGCGCGAAGTGTTTTGTAAAGGCAGCTTGGAATTCGTGTTCCGTGCAAGTTCCGACGAGTACTAGAGCTACTAAGCGACTTAGCTGCTGCCTGAGCCCTACTAACGTCTGGGGCCTGAAAGCCCTGAACACTGGCATGTGCAGCGAGACGAAAGCCACAAACGTCCTCCTGGGCTTGGATGATGGCTGGCTTTCTGCACTACTGGGGCCAGCCGCCGGCCGTCTGGCAGCTTTGGCCAAAGGTGGGCCTTCGCTTCCTTTGAAAGGTATCGCAGAGCTTTAAAATGGGGTTCCCCCTTTAAAAGCTCCTACAAGGTTCTATCGTAGGTATAATAAAGGGCCACTACATGGTTCTATAATTGGGTCGGCCTTAAGGGGTTCACAAGGTTATTTATGCGGGTCTAATTACAGGGCTTCGGGCGTGTAGCCACCACAGCAGTTGCAAAGGCGGAGCCACCGAGGAAGCATGCAAAGCCTGACGTGGAGCACACAACTCAACTTTCGGTGCTAGGTTACGACAGCTTGAACTGAACTACACTGTACACATCAACCCCCAAATGCACATAATCACAAATTGCCTCACTTCAACCCAGGATAGAGGGCGAAACTTGTGGGCCACTTCTTGCGCTGGCGTGAGGTTCGGGTACCTCCAGAAGCTTCGATGTCACCAGTTGAAGCTGCAAAGCGAGTGTTTCCCAATGCGCTGTGGGGGAATCGGGCATGTAGGGTTGAAGGGTTACATGGGTACAGTAGTTCTCTAAATTAGCGCGCCTTTTTCGGTCAACCCCAAATAGTAAGGCACCCTTACAAAAAGGACTTTAAAAGGGACCAACATGTAGAAGACTACCCACATGTTTGCAGGTTTTCCGGCTGCCTTCAACGCAGAGCAGGCCGTCCAAGTGAGCTGCAGCTGCGGGAGTCGACTCGGTTCTTCCGCTTGTGGATCCCGCGTGTCTTTTTTGGGTTTAAGGTTCGCGGCTGTGCATCCCTCTTCTGGCCAAAAGGACACCAACAAGGGATTGGGTAAGTTTAAGCAACCCAAATCCCTTGAACATAATACCTGAACAAAGATCTTCAAACACCTCTAGCCACTCGCAACACTTACGTTTAAAACCCCAAGTCTAGTGTCGCATCTCTTAGTGGAAAGCTGTGCACATGTTGCCATGTAGCAGGACTTACCAACACCTTTGTTGTAGCACCTTTTCGGACAACTTAGTTTAGGTTAACAGCTTACAATACGAAGCACAGTGTCCGGGAAGAGGTCTACAATTGAGGATCTAGGTCCGCCTAAGCTTGTTATAGCGACATCAGTTGTGCCATAATTAGCTAGTTGTGCTTCTTGCACCTATCGTTTATCCTAATTATCATGTATATGCATCTATGTTCGCATGCTTGGTGCCCACATGCCTCAGCCTCAAAGTCTGTCTCACGTCTGCAGCTAAGACAACCAGCGAAGTTACAGTATTACGGATATATCAGATATTTTAGGCGACTAGCCATGAGACTCAGGAATCATCATGTCACCGGCACTTGCTGTCACATCTCTGTCATTGCCCCAAGGGTCCAAAGGACCCAATAATCAGGTACTTAGGTTTCGGATAGTAGTTATGTAGGTCACTCTTTGGGAGAATGATTATTAGGCACTTGGACCCTTAGGGTTGCATCATAAACATGATGCTAACATGCAATGCAGGTGCTGCTCTCAAGCATCCCGTGTTCAAGATTCTTCACGGCGAGACTCTAAACCCTACGTTCACCCCACATAACATATATACCTTGGCAAGATCTTACAGAAGGACCCTGTGATTCAGGGTTATGGTAAACTCCAAACCCAAACCCTACACTTACACCTTAAAGTAGACCCCAAACCCAAACCCTACACTTTCACAATAAACTCCTAAACCCTAAACCCTAAACCCCAAACCCTAAACCCTAGAACGAGAGGTGCGCAGTGCTTGCTTGTCTGGAAGCCCCTGGTTGCTGGTGGCCACGGAAGATGCGCTTCTCGGCGATGCTTGAGTCAGGGTTGAGGGGTTAGGGTTTAGGGCATCAGGGGTTCAGAGTTTAGTAATTAGTAAGGCTTTAATTTAAGGCTTAATGGGTGTTCAGGTTTCAGGGATTGAAGTTTAGAGTCTATTTTGCAGGACAAGGGGCCGTGGGGTTTAGAGCTTTAGGGTTCAGCGTTTAGAGTTCAAGGTTTTGGAGCTTCAAGTATGAAGCTTTGATTTTAGTGTACAAGGTTCAGGGTTTTGGTTCCCTCAACCCTAAACCTTCTAGTGTACAGAGTCCAGAGTTTCCCAATGCTTGCCAGAGTGTCTCTTCAGTTCTTTATTCAGGGTTTGTTGGCAGCAGCTGCCTACAACCCGAACGGGCCTTTCCCCCCCAATGCACAAGATAACCCTAAAACCCCTAAACCCAGAACCCTAAAACCAGAACCCTTGAGCCTAAACCCCTAAACCCAGAACCCTAGAAAGTTCGTGAGGGCCAACACAATCCACATGATAAAGCTTCTCTGGATGCCTTGTCCCACACTCCGTTGCAGAATATGGTTTAGGGTTCAGGGTGAAGGGTTTAGCTACCTGGCACGTAATGTATGTCCAGTTTTCGGATTCGTGAGTATAGTGTCTGAACGGTGCCTCCTTCTGTCACACTTAGCAGAACCTTTGCCAATTGAGCACCCTGGAAGTGCCTAAAGCTCCAAACCCTAAGCCCTCAACCCTAAACCCTGAACCCTAAACCCTAAACCCTAAACCCTAAGAGATGAATACATCAAAGCCACCAGTCCTCAGTAGCAGCCCTGATTTCGTGATGGTTTTATCATTGACCTAGTATATGAAGGTTCATGCAGATATCCCTAAACCCTAAACCCTAAACCCGAAACCCTAAACCCTAAACCCTAAACCCCAAACCCCAAACCCTAAACCCTAAACCCAAAGCCTTGGAAATCGAAATCTCCGAGATCCGAGGGACCAAACCCTCACCCCTGCCAGTGACAGCACAGGAGTGCCTATGCAGTGGAAGCAGGCTCCATCCAGTGCCATCCTCCTCTGGTCAGGGACTTGCAAAGAAGTGCTTTGAGAAAGCTAAGAATCCATCCTGACATATCCTGACGCCATGACCCTACCCTAATACCCCAGGTACCTACTATATTATAGGGTACAAGAGCCCCAAAGACCCTATATAGTAGGTACCTGGAGGGCTAGGGCTACATAGATCAGGCACAGATCAGGTAACCCAAATCCTGGGTCAAGACTCCTCTTCCGCTGATCCTACTTGATTTCGGGCACCCCTGTGCAGCCATGCTTCAGGATGGATTGGAATCGTCAGCACTACTCCATTCTAGCATCGTAACTCTTCTAACATTCGTCCGTTCCTAACGTCGCAACATTTTCAGTATCCCTTGTAGTAAACATGCCGGTGCCTCATGTCCCCTGCCCATCATCAGATACTCGTGATGCAAACCTTGGCAATCCCCAATCCCGCCGCGTCTTTAGGTGGGACTCCGGTGATGTTTGTGGTTTAGGCAGACCAGTCTATCTGGTGATCGGCTCGAGCACGATCGTTACACGAGCCGCAGACAACGATAGTAGCTATGGTAGACTGTGACTCGAGACCCGTAAACCCTTCACCCTATAAAAATCTTAAACCGTTCTAGGCCCACTCTAGGTAAAGCACCTCTCGCACCCGCACCCCCACCCCGTTCCTTTCCTCGACAGTTCCAGCCCCAAAGCCACCGTATATTGCACTATGTTGCAGTACATTCAGGTATATCATAGTATATCATAGTAGTTCATAGTCTATTGTCGTATACCATAGTATATCATAGTACATCGTATATTCCAGTATGTTATAGGTATTGTACTGGCATAGTAAAGCGCAGTATAGTACACTATAGTACAGTTTGGTACAGCATAGTATAGTTCAGTACAGTATAGTATAGTATAGTATGGTAGAGTCTAGGACAGTAAGTTATAGTATATTGTGGCAGAGTCTGATTTAGTATGCGCTTTTCTTATGCCCCACTAAACCCTTAAAACCTAAACCCTAATTTCTGGTCTACCGGGTTCTTTTGAGAGGCAGCGGATCGTCACTACCCTGGCCCGCCGGCTTTCAGGTGGCTCTGCTGTGCTGCTTTCACCCTCGCGCTTCTCATTGTCTCCCTCTCTCCCCCTCACTCTCTCTCTCTCTTTCTCTTTTTCCGTTTCTCTCTCTCTCTCTCTGTCTCTTCTCTTTTTCTGTCTCTGCCTCTCTCTCTCTCTCTCGCTTTCTCTGTCTTCCTTTCTCGCTCTCTCTCTCTCTCTCCCTCCCTCCCTGGTTCCGACTTAAGAGAGGATCAGATGTGACAACAACTTGTAATCTGTATGTACGCACCATCCAACTAGGCATGTACATGTGTGGACAGGTGTCGCGTCTGTTTATCCTTGTGCATATCGAAGGGGGAGAGGCGAGAGAGAGAGAGAGAGGGAAAAAACAAGGGAGTACCGACACGTGTGCCGAAACTATTGCGGATTTGCGAGTGCCCGACTACTCCGCTACACGGAGGCGTAGTTGGCAATACAGATTCCAAGACGCACCCCTCATAGTTGCTGCGTAGCTCTGTTGTGAACACTCGTCCTCAGACTGCGAACTTCATGCCTTACAGTCTAGTCTGAACTCAGAACTCTAAATCGCAAATCTTAAGCTCTTCTGCTCTATAACTCTATAACTTCGAAAGCTGGCCTTACATGTTTGGTCCAGCTTACGTAAGACGTTTGAACCTTGTTGGGCCCGGTCATCTAGGTTCCTGAGTAGTACCCTTTTGCCCTTTTTATTTTGGGGTCTCCTTATTAAAAGCCCAACTATAGGAAAAAGGGTACCCTTATTATTTCGGGGTCACTCAGGAACCTAGTCCTCTGGTCAGGGCCCCTAAACCCTAAACCCTAAACCCCTAAACCCTAAACCCTAAACCCTAAACCCTAAACCCTAAACCCTAAACCTAGGCATTGAAGCGGGCTTCCCCTTGGGGTCCCAAGGAAGGGTCTTGGGGCCAGGCTGTCGAGGTTTCATCGGGCTTAGGGCTTATAGAGTTTAGGGTTTAGGGTTTAGAGTTTAGAGTTAAGGGTTTAGGGTTTAGGGTTTAGAGTTAAGGGTTTAGGGTTTAGGGTTTAGGGTCTAGAGATTAAAGTTTGGGGTTTAGAGATTAGAGTTTAGGGTTTAGCGTCTAGAGTTTAGAGTTTAGGGTTTAGAGTTTAGAGTTTCGGGTTTAGAGATTAGGGTTTATGGTTTAGAGATTAGAGTTTAGGGTTTAGAGATTAAGGTTTAGGGTTTAGAGATTAGAGCTTAGGGTTTAGGGTGTTTAAGGATCTCGACGTTTCTGGGCTTTAGATAGAGCTTATGCACGCAGTTTCATGCTGCGGGCTCGGAGCTTCTAAGGTTTGGGGCGCTACGCACGCTTTTCTAAGCCCGAAACGACCCGAAGCCCTAAACCCTAAACCCTAACCCCTACCTTAAGAACCCAAAACCTACTTTTTTGTAGGGTCCCTATAAATCCCAGATTAATGTTGATAATAAGAACCTACAAAAAAGTGGGTTTTGGGTTCTTAAGGTAAACCCTAAACCCCTAAACCCTAAACCCAAAGCCCTACGGAGACTTCACCGCTTCTGATGGCTAAGCTCTTCTTCAGGTGGATGCCCTCCTTTGTCCCGAAGAGGCGAGCTGCATTTTGGGAATCCTGGCGTGGCTTGAGGGTTTAGTTTGGGGTGTAGGGGCCCTGTAACTGCTAAGGTTTAGGGTGTGGGGTTTAGGGTTTAGGGGTTTAGGGTTTAGACCGATGTTCTTAAACATGCGGGCGGAGAAGCGGGCGGAACAGTTACATTGATAATCGAATCGTATAGGTGTGGAATAGAGGCAGTGGCCTCAAAAGAGCATTCCCTGAGTTAGAATGTAGGGACCTTTTTAATAGTTAGAAAAGGGTTTTAGGGTCCATTATACTATATCATTAAAATAAGGAGCCCCCCCAAAATAGTCTAGGTAAGTATTTAGGCCCCTACATTAAACCCTAAACCGTAAAAATCTAGAGCCCTAAACCCTAAAACCCTAAAGCCCGAAACCCTAAACCCTAAACCTAAACCTTTTTTAGGCCCCTACATCACGCGCTATGGAGCTGGTAAGCCTGAAACTTGTAACCCCGAAGGACCACTGTCCAAGATTACTTCGGTTTAGGGTTTAGGGTTTATTAGGGATTATAAGGCTTAGGGTTTAGGGATGAGGGATTATAGGGTTTAGGGTTTAGGGTTTAGGTCTTAGGGCTGAGATGCACCTTAAGCTCTAGAGCTCGAGCTAGGCCCACGAATTCAAGATCGTCAAGTCTTGAGAATGGTCCGTGAAGCAACTCAATCGATGCCGCCCGCCGGTTAGGGCTTAGGCTTTAGGGGCATTCGTTACGAGCCAATTGAGCCTACAATCTGTACCTAAACGCTATACTTTTTGCTTCTCCTGCATTGCCCAGGAATGTCATGTGAGACGACAGACTCTGTCCTGCGCCCTGGTCTTAATTAAGTAAGTTCATAAATAATAAATACATGATCACATGCATACAAATAAATATGTACATATATATATATATATACGATAACCAACATAGCAGCAATGGTAGCCATCACAAAAGAAATAGAGGCAGAAATGACGGCAGAGAGCCCTCTCATTCCGCACGGGGTTAAAGGAGTCTGGAAAAGAAAGTCCTCGTAGTCATGATCTGGCATTAACTGAGGCGCACCTGCAATCCATACATGGCTTGGGGCGCTCATCTAATAAAGCCTCAAAGCCCTGAATGTAAAGCCGATAGTCATGTAGGTACGGGCAGAATCGGCCTTCGTGATCCTAGGTATTCTAGTTCATCACTGGCGAAGGTTGTGTTCTGTAGGTTCTTGTAGAGGCGGAACATTTTGAGCACACATCCCAATACTACTGACATGGGAGACCACCTGATGGCTATTCGGGGATTGCTTTGAGCAGCTAACGCTTAAACGAAGGGTATGTGTACATTCGGCAGTTTGCATTTGCTGACTCGAGAATACGAACCTGTGTGCAGTAAGTAATAGTAACCCAGCACACCCTTAAAGCAAACAAGCAGTGCTGAAACGGTTCAGTGGCAGGGGTTTAGGGTTTAGAGAAACTTTGGTGATAGCACATGCCGAAGCTGGGCGTTGCAGAGCGATCCTAACCAGATTGCAGCCCGAGTTCCACCCCACGTCCCGAAACCCCATGATCAAACTCAACCGGGAATTGCAAGTCCTCTTGAAAACCCTGAATCCAAAACAGAAGTCCTAAGCCTTAATCTTTAGTAACTACTTAGTAGACCCTAAGCCACTGCAGAAGCCATCAATGTTGGTGTCGGAAGCAGTCGTTTACCAATACGTTTCCACTTAGAGCCCGGTTGCCCTGTACTGTCCTTCATATCTATCTAAATATATATATATATATAGAGAGAGAGAGAGAGAGTCCTTATATATATATATATATAGAGAGAGAGAGAGAGTCCTTATATATATATATAGAGAGAGAGAGAGAGTCAGAAGAAAACAACCAAGAATGTTTCCAAAAGTAAGGGCCCAGTATAAGCCGCGTAACACAGATAGAAACATCCTTTAGCTAAGCCTTTACTCAGCAGGTGACATAGGGTTGGGTGAAGTGGAGGTGCTGCTGGCGCCTGCCGTCTGGCAACGAGATGTGGCGGCGGCAGACTGGTACGAAGCTACTGCAGCCATTGGTGTATATTGCTTTTCGGCGGCACAGGCGGTTGGGGAGGCTGTGAGCCTCCCAAGCCCAAAGCGGTGGCATCTTGTAACCTGAAACCCCACCTGAATCCTAAAGAACTTGCCGGCTTGTGCTCTAAATCATGATTTCCGGTCTAAGGGAACCTTATGCCCTACACACACCCCTAAGAGAAGTCCTACTTCAAGGCAGTTGCAGTAGATTCTTGCCGGCCCCTAAACCCTAAATCTTGCTAAACCCTGAACCCTAAACCCTGGGTTCAGGGTTTAGCCCCTAAACCCTAAGCCCCTACTATAAACCCTAAACCCTAAACCCTGGGCTTACGGTTTAGGGACACCACCTGTAGTCTCCATTGTAGTTCCTTTTTCTGGTTTAACCAATTATATATTGAGGGTTTTATAGGGTATCCCCCAAAAAGGAACTACAATGGAGACTACAGGTAAACCCTAAACCCTGGGCTTACGGTTTAGGGACACCAGTGTTTGAATCTAAGATCAGCGAGGCCAGCTGTTCTGTTGACCTGGTTGTCTAGACCCAGAAAGCCCAGAACCTGCCTAAGTCCTAGCACCCTTGGGTTTAGGGCTTTAGGGCTTTAGGGTTTTAGGGTTTAGGGTTTTAGGGTTTAGGGTTTTAGGCTTTGACAAAGGGGCCTTCATTATTATTACCTATATCATTTTTGGGGGTTCCTTAATCTAATTATGGTACACTGGGCCCCAAAACCCTATTCTGACTGTTAAACCCCCAACATTAACCAAAACCCTAAACCCCTAAACCCCTAATCCCTGAACCACCTAAACCCCTAAAGCCCTGAACCCTTAAAGCCCTAAACCCCTACCTGAAAGCATCCTTGGCATTGCAACGGCCCTGCTCCAATGCCTGCCGAGGCGAAGCTCAAGGCGGTCGCGGCTGGCTGCTTTGAGGGCGTCCTGATACTCGCCTTTGAGCTCCCCCAACCCTAAGCCTTCGACCTACCTTAACCTACCAAAACCTACTTTTTTGTAGGTTCCCTATAAATTGCATATTATGGGAAAAAATCAGAACCTACAAGAAAGTGGGGTTTGGTAGTTCTCTAAATTAGGGTCTCCTTTTAGGTACCAAATATAGTTCGCCTTTGAGCTCCCCTAAACCCTACTTGGAGGTTAAATGGGGTAGTTATAAGTAGGGTTGTAAGTAGGGTAACTATAGTTAAAACCTATATTAGGGGACTTATAACTCTACTTATGATATCTACCCACGAACCTCCAAGTTTGAGCTCCCCTAAACCCTAAACCTCATTTGTTGTTCAGGGCTCATGATTGAGGCTTTACACTTGTCTTTGTGGCCTTATCTGAGGGCATGGTGGTTTTGCAATAATTAGCCCGTGTGTAATCTCCACAGCCCAAAAATATCTAAGGATACTGGCCTGCAAGTAGCAATATAGGTTTACACTTAGTCGATATTTGGGCCCCCGGAAGTCTTAAACATATATACTTACACTGCAACCCTAAACCCTAAACCCTAAATCCTAAACCTTGAACCCTAACAAACCCTATAAACCCTAAACCCTAAACCCTAAACCCAAACCCTAAACCTTGAACCCTAAACCCTAAACCTTGAACCCTAAACCCTAAGGACGTGGGATGCGTCCGACGGATCTGCGACGCGGCGCTTGAAGACCGAGCTGCCCGTCGATCGGATTTGGCCGCCTGCCTGATGTCCATGTTGTAAGGGTTTATAAGGGGTTCAGGGTGTTTAGGGTTTTTAGGGTGTTTAGGGTTTTTAGGGTTTTAGGGTTTATAGGGTTTCTTAGGGTTTTTAGGGTCTTTAGGGTTTTTACGGCTTCAGGGTTTTAGGGTTTAGGGTTTTTAGTGTTTTCAGGGTTTCGGGTTTTTAGGGTTTTTAGGGTTTTTAGGATTTTTAAGGTTTAGGGTTTAGGGGTTTCAGGGTTTAGGGTTTCAGGGTTTAGGGTTTTAGGGGTTTCGGGTTTAGGATAGGGAGACCCCTACAGGTTCCTTTCCAGGGCTCCTTTAAGGGTACTACTAGCGTTTTAGGGTTTGGGCTTTGGAGCTGTCGGGTCTTAGGGCTGGGAGGTCGAAGTCTGGAGTTTGTGTAGCACCATCATGCTTTCAGGTGGTTGTGACTGTTGGTTTTAGGGTTTAGGGTTTAGGTTCTTTTAGGGTTTAGGGCTTAGGGTTTAGGGTTCGTGTGTTGTGGTGGAGGTGTTCGTGATTTGCAATGCACTGCAAGACTCGAGCGGACCAGGAAGACGGCTCTTGTTTAGAAGACAGAAGACCATTGTTGCGTTGTGGGATTAGCCGTCCCCTAAACCCTAAAAGAACCCGGACCCTAAACCCTAAAACCATAAATAAGCGACAAACACAAGACACACCCAAACCCAACAGCAGCGAAGCACGCGCCTCGCCAAGGTACTTTCCGCAGTGCCTTGTCTACAGATGTCCTTGGAGCTCATGTCGGTGTTTCTGTACATGGTACGGAGCTTAGGATGTCAGGTTTACATACATGTTTGTGTATGAACTATGTATGTATATGTATACACACATGCATACGTACACACATACACATACCCTGCATATTCTCACCCCCCCCCCTCTACCCGATTCACCGCAGCTTCTGTACTTGCGTTTCTGTTCTTTGACGAAATGGATGCGCGGAGACGCTTGGTTGCTGCGACAACATTGGGAGGGGTCAGCAATCCCCCAAATTCCTGAAGCCTGGAAACCCTAAACCCTAAACCCTAAACCCTAAACCCAGCCTCGACAGGGATAGCAAATCCCCAATCCCCATCTGCAGAGCTGATGCTTTTCCCCGTAGCATCAAAACAGCCCAAAAGCCTTACTAGGTTCCTGAGTAGTACCCTTTTGCCCTTTTTATTTTGGGGTCTCCTTATTAAAAACCCAACTATAGGAAAAAGGGTACCCTTATTATTTCGGGGTCACTCAGGAATATCACTTATATAACAGGGTCTTTCGGCCCAAAAGCCTTAAACTATGAGTCCTTTGAGGGTAAGGGTTCTAGCACTGGAAGTTCAATCTCTCGAGAATCTTTGCATTAAAAGGACGTCAGGCTCGGGAGCTGGTAATATTTGGGGTCTAGAGTGCGTAGAGATTGGGTTCGGCCTAAACCACTACACAAGTGTTGCAAGGTTTCGGATCCTGAACCGTTGATCCTGTTCCGGGCAGGGTGTTTTTGGAAACGGGCCAGAAACTCATAAGCCGTCTTCTATTTGGGTAGTTTTCTAAATTAGGGTCCCATTCTAGGTCCGCAATACAGTACAGCACCCGTACGAAAAGGACCCCCAAAGCGACCCTAATTTAGACAAAGAACTACCCATTTACATGAGCCCTACGAGCTTCCTATGGTAGTTTGCGGAATCATCGCAGTACCCAAACAGGCAAGAGCTGATTTGCGCGCGGGGCAGTGAAATCTTAGGCGCGGTCATGAAAGGGGCGAAGGGCGAAGGCCACTAAACCCTAAACTTCATGAGAGTTTCAGGGTTTAGGGTTAAGAGGAACGAAGGCTTCTAAGCTTCGGATCTATGGGTTTTAAGGGGCTGCAGTTTGCTTTATGTTTTGCGGGTTTATATAGTGTATTTGGGTTTAGATTCTAGGGTTTAGGAGCTGCTTTTGTGCTAGGGCTTCGAGTTTCATGCGATGTTCCTCCTCCTCGTTTTGGCCACACAATCTTGTGCTGACCATCCTGTTTTAGGGGGACGGGCTGACTGGAGGTTGGAATGGCAATGCAGGGAACCGGAAACCGTAGACCCCGATATCCTTTAATTTAATAATTTAATAGAAGAGTATACCTTTAAGTAATCTCAGGGACCCTACTATATTTTAAGGCATATTGCTAGGGGATATTGGAAGGTCTGGGGAGCATCAGGGCAGATCCTAGACCCTAAACCCTATTCCCGGGACCCCTAAGAACCGACCGTGCTATAGGTTCCCTGAAAAAGACCCTAAACCGTAAACCCTAAACCCTAAACCCAAACCCTAAACCCTAAACCAAAAAACCCTAGAATGTCCTCAGAAACGTGGGCTATTTGGGGGTTCAGGTAAAGGATGGTTGGAGGTGCATGGGTAGTTAGGGTTTAGGTTATAAGGAGGGTTTACAAGTAGGATAACTAGTGTTGTAGCCTATATTAGGGGACTTATATCTGGGTTTAGGATAACTTATAACCGTACTTATAGCTACCCATGACCCTCCAAGCAAGCCTTAGCCCCTAAAAGCTTGGACCCTAAACCCTTTCCCCAACCCCGAGACCCTATATCCCACTCCCTAAACTCCTAAATCCCGAACAAAGAACCCTAAACCCTAAACCCTAAACTCCTGTACGGGATCGCGGCGAAATCCTCCCGGGGGTGAGACGGGGTTTACAGGTACTCAAGACACTTTGCTTGATGCCATGCTCGAGAGTTGCAGAGTGGAACAGCCAGGAGGTGACGAGCAGCCGATGAAAGCAGGGGACGGGTCGCAGCAGGGATCGTCACGGTTGCAGTCAGAAGGATCGTCGAAGTGATAATGGAGGGGTACTACGTTCTCTGAGGGTTTTTTACTGGCCTGCCTCACTGAGGCTCTCTACTTCGTGACTAGTTGCGAGGTGGAAAAGGGCTCTCAAAAAAAAAAAACTAAACTCCTAAACCCCAAACAAAGAAAAAGACCCGAAACCCCAATCATCAAAATTTGTAGATCTTCGGGCTTCGGAGTTTCGACTGAGCTTTCAGAGGTCTCACCACACATCTTTCCACGTGGAGTGTGAATGCGCTCGCCGCCGGCACAGGACAAGGGCTTTAGGGTTTAGGGCTTAGGGCTTTCTCTTCAGGTCTAGCAGCTGAGGGTTTAGGATTATAGGGGTTCAGGGTTCAGGGGATTTATGGAAATTGAGGGCTTCGAGGAGGTATTTCCATGCCGCCATCAACATACCTACGGTGCCTTTTGTTCGCAATCTTCCAAGCACGAGTTGAACCGAACCCACATCTCCGAAGTTAGACAACCCTCCATCGCACATATTTCGCCGTGTAGTACCTTGTTTCCGCATTACAGGATCTTGCCCATAGCAGTGGAGCACGAACTGGAGTCTTGCTTGTAGTATCTACATACCCATAGGCCGCATAGTAGCTCCTTTTTGGGATTCCCTTATAGGATTCTAAATATGAGCCCCAAAAAGGAAATACTTTGGGGCCTATGCGTGGGTTGAAGGTATGCTCTGAAGACCTGCTTCTGGGAAGCAACCATCTCGGCACAGGTTGGCTCATTCTACATCTTAACCCCATACCCTCCCCTAGGCCGCACACCTAGACCAGAAGTTTCTTTGGCCCTTAACCTCAACCCCGTAAATCCTGAAGCAAAGTTTCTTTGTTCGAGTCTGAAAGCAAAATTCCTCTGCTACCCTCAGGTAGATCAAGGTTACCGTTTCTCTGGATCGTGACCTCGAAAGGAGACAGCCCCGTTTGGGAGAAGTCTTCAAATGAGATGGTCATGGCACTGGCGGGCGATGGTGGAAGTCTTTTTGATGCTCGTCGCACAAGTTTCTTGCAGCTATGATGGTAGGGCTGCCAGCAACCAAAAGAAATACCCACACAGCATTCTGAAGCATGCCGTTCCGACAGATATGTACCCATACTGTACATAGATTCTAGATGCACTCATCGGCATGCCGGCTTGTACATTACCCATGTAAGTACACGTGCAGGCAGCCCTACGATAATGGACAAGTATGCAGCAAGACACGGCAGGACATGCACAATCCATCAATCCTGACAAAACCCTAAACCGTATATAAGCCTTTATAGGACCTCAAACCCTGTAAGCCCTTGTAAAACCCACTGATACACCCTAGATACCCCGGACCGCCTTGGGATCTCCGGCAGAGGCCCGCGTGGGAAGTGTCATCCATGCTTGGGACGGCAAGTTGGGCAAAGAACTCTGGCAGAGGGCGAAGCTCACCAGCACCCAGGTTTTACGGACTATCCGCTTCGTGGCATTCGTAGAAGTTCTTAGGCAGAGTCGCTGGTTTGGGGTTTAGGGTTGTTTGGGGTTTAGGGTTTAGTGCTCAATCAGAAAACTCTGTTGCGCATCCATAAGGGCAGCTGTTTTTGGGGTGCAGCTGTGGCCGGTTCGAACTTTCTAGGGCAGGTGTAGTAGTAGTAGTAGTAGT